TTTTACTTACCGGCTTGGTTCTTTGTCACTTAGGCAAGTTGATAGCTATAAATACTTAAGTGTTACAATAACAACTACCTTATCATGGAATAAACATATAAATATTTCCTCCTCTGCATTCAGAAAGCTTTGCTTTCTAAAACATAAGCTTCATAATGCCCCAAGCAATGTTGAATTACTGGCCTATTATTCTTTAATAAGACCTAAATTAGAATATGCGAGTGCAGTATGGGACCCATACACTCAAACTAACATCAAGTGCCTGGAAAGAATACAAAGGAAAGCCGTCCAGTTCATTTTTAACAAGTTCTCACGAGTCGACTCTCCTTCTGAAATAACGAAGGCCAATGGCATTTCCCTTCTCAGCACACATCGAAAACAGATAAGAATTGACCTTCTTTCTCTTCTTCTGAACCACAAACTTGCAATTGACCCATTGCCGTACCTGAGATCGTTATCAACCAGACCCACAAGGCATCATCAGGCCAAATCTCCAACACCCTATTTCTGTAGGACAGACGCTTATAAGTACTCATATTTTCCACACACGGTGTCAGATTGAAACTCGGGCATTCTCATAGAATCTATTTCTCCTTCGCTCTGAATAGCATTGTCCTGAAAATTCAGGTTTCAGATTTTTTATTGCAGCATTTTTCTTTTCGTGTTCTTTTTCATCTGTATGTATGTATCTGCATGTATTCATTACTTTATTGGCTTGAACGGCGAAAATTGTGTTTATTGTTTTGCATTTAATATGTATTTATTTTTACTTTAATCGCACAACATATGAAGTACGAATTTGTGTTTTTTTCCTACATGCGTTATTATGAAATAATTTGCTATGTCGCTCCTTGTGTTCACTATAGGTGTATGAAACACTCACCCCAAACAATCTTTATGCCACTTATTGTTTCAACTATGTCCCCTTATAACTGCCCACCTGCTTGGACCCGAGGGTCTGCAGTATGTAATAAATAATACCGTATTTACGCGATTCTACCGCGCCCTCGATTGTAACGCGCACCCGGTTTTCACGACGGGGAAAAAAAAAAAGAGTAAGACATCAATTGCAATGCGCACCCATTTTTCTCGTTGGCCGGCACGATCACACCACTAGGGAAAACGACTCCTTTCGCGAGCGTCTTCCTCTTAAATTTGAGGTACGGGGGAAGCTTGGGCCCATCTGACGTGCAATGGAGCATTGCCCTCACTCTAGTTTTACCGGGGCCCGATGTCAGCACACGAACTTGCTTCGCCCCCTTCTTCTCGACGGTTGTGGTGCCAGGCATGTCGAAGTAAAGAGGCGTCTGATCGGCATTCCCGATTTGCCCAAGTAGATAGCCATTGTTGTGCCGCAAGTTTAGGACGAACCTCTGAAAACTGTGAAGCTTTTCTTTGTACTCTTCCGGCAACTTTTGGCATATGCCCGTTCGCCTTCGGAGGGAAAAGCCTTTCCTCTTCATAAAGTTAGTTAGCCAGCACCTGCTCGCTTTAAACAGGCTCCGCATTATCCTTTTTTCTAAGGCTAACTGCATAGCCTGCACTTGGAGCAGTTCTGTCGTCACGGGCCGCTCACTGCTCAATCATATACTCGACGGGCAGCTCTTCAATTTGCGGAAACGGACCCTGCTGTGGTACACTGAAGCCTCTGCGTGAATGTTTGCTGTCGACAATATTCTGCTTTTGTTTCCGCCAGTCCCACACGCACTTTCGGGAACTCCGAACGACCGCGATGACATTTCTTTTAAAAGGGACATCGTGGTGCACTCGTTGAGTTTTTGGAGTCGGCCCTTCCGTATACCGTCAAAGCTAATGCACTACAATGTGACGAACTCCCCAGCACACGTACGAAGTGGCGCACATGGGAAACACATAGGCATAAACGGCCGACGCGCCATGCAGACGCAGATGGGGGCCGGCCATTTTGGAAATGCCGATGGCAATAGAATGACCGTATTCATTTTTTTTTTCGTACTCGATTCTAACGTGCATGCGATTCATGAACTCGCTTAACCAGAAAAAAGGAGCGCGTTAGATTCGAGTAATTACGGTAAATAAAAAATCACAGCTGATGGTGAAATAACTGAAAAACTCTGTTGCAGTGGCGACACCAAAGAGCATATCAAAACTACTGCGGAGTCCGAGATACACATCCAACACAGCGACTGACAGCGACGAAACGGACATAATCGGCTGTTTGCGATCAATGTGTACTGCTATCTGCTACTTAGCGAAAACTGGCAGTTTTTTCTAAACATGCTACGGCAGCAGTGAGCCGATTGCCTACTGGCTAGTTGCGCGCAGCGCTTCGCCTACTAGGCATGTACACAGTGCCAACCTTCTTGCGCCAAGTCCACTTCAGACCAGGCAAAGAGCGGCGAGGAGCCTGTTGGATAACGCGACGCTGCGAGGTTTCTGCAAGCAATGCTCTAGCGATCCCAGCAGCGGACAAAGGTGTGTTTCGGCTGTCGCCTCGTGAAAGTGAACTACACTTGCTGTCTCAGTGTCCGCGATCCACAATGCTCAATTTAGTAACAGCGAGCTGCTTTCGTTTTTGCGAAGCGGTGCACGCTGAACACGGTACCGCACAATGATTAAGGCAGCAGCGATAGGCGCCTCAGAGCTCTCAAGTAGTTTCTGGCTATTAAAAGCGTGCAGTAGGCTCGAACGGCGCAACGCAGCACAGGTAGGCTTTTTGTCGGCAATAAGTTATACTGCCGTGCTTTTCGATAGTCGCCACATCACCTTTGTTCTAAGCCACAAATGGTTACCAGGAAAGCTACCGCCGCAAGTGCGCGGAAGTCGGAAGAATTGATCAGCTGCTTCCGTGCTTTTTCAGTGGCGAAAGTGTACGCAAAGACAGCAGCTCAAGCGTACAAGACCATGACCATCGCGTTCTATTCGCTCGCGATGCGTGCTGTCAACATTACTTTCGGATCCAAAACCACCTTGTGGTGCAGGAATGGTGCAAATTAAACAAAAAAGACCCTGTTGGAGCAGTATGGGGCAGTGATTTCCAGTTGGTGCAGGTTTGCCACCACTGCTGTAAGAGATTTGCCTGTATAGGTTTCAAGTGTGTTTCCTGTACATACAGAAGTCTTGGTGTGTGAAGAAGCTCCTGGACATCGTCAAGGTTCCTAAGGAAGCCCTCGAGATTCCATTGAATTGTTTTTGTGCTTATATTGAAGGCGAACTAGTGCTGTATGTACAAACAAGAATTTGCTTACGCTACAGAGCCCTTTCCAGGCCCCATAAGGCGTAATTTGTCCTTTCCTTGGCAGTGGAGGGGGTCTTGCCACTCTTTAGGCACTTGATATGGCATCCATTGCCTATTCTATAATACCGTATTTACTCACTAATGAATGCACTTGCATAATAGACTCACCCCCAACTTCTGCCATGAAAACTTGGATTCTTCTTTTTTGCGCATAATAAATGCACCCCCTACATTCATCCACTGCAATCCCGCTAACTGACTCTGGCGCCTCATCACCCGTTGAATCTCTTCAGTTTTTCATTCCTTTGCCGACTCCCCTCAACCACCCCGGTTCCCACCGTTGCTGCGTGCCTATTGCTTTTCTTTCTATCTGAGCACCACAGCAGGTTTCACGAGCAGTGCAAGTGTAGGAACATCGCAACTAATAAGCACACAGTGAGCGAAGATCAACAAACTGCCCACGCCAACACACATCAGTCAGTTCCTCACCACTGCATTCTGCAATAACCCTTGGCATTTTTTTCTGTCTTGTGGGTATCTGTTACATCCAAGTAAGAGACTGTCACATAAAGTCAGGTTTTTGGCACATAGCAACAAAAACCATGAACAACGAGGCACTGTATACGACTCACCTGGCACGCAAGCAAGTTTCAGCAACAGTCCCATTAACACGTTAACACCAGCGGCTGTCCGCCGGCAAAGCGTATCCAACAATGCCAAGATGAAGGCAGGGTATTCTAGAGCGTTGACTTTTGCCTTATTCTCTGCCACTCTTATCACCCACCACTCGCGGCTAGCTGATCTTGTTAATGCGAACAAACAGCCACTCTGATTAGTTACCACGATGACCAAGCGCGAACGAAATGATACACATTGGCATCGAAAAAAGCATCGTTCCACACAGCTGCGTGGAAAAAAAAAAAAAAACATGAACTGAGCGACTGAGCTTCAGCTTCGGATCGTCTGCAGCTCAAAAGTAAGCCAGTGGAAAAAGCAGGGCAGTCTTATTGCCATCACTACCGAGCAATGGTGGCGCCCATGCTTGCTGAACAGTGGCGGTTTATGGTGGTGTCAGCGCGTATTTTAGACTTCGCCGCGTATTTTAAGGTTCAGAAAATGCATCAAAATGTTGAGGATTGTGTTTACTGTATAGCAATAAATATCTGAGCTGGGAATTGCATCATGAAATTTCATTGAAGTGGGACAGCAGAAGAAAAAGTGTTTGTTGTGGCGACGATATCTATGCATTGACTCCTACGGACTGCCGACGGGAATCGTGAATTTTTCGTTGTAGCAGAAATTTCGTTGAAGCGGCGTTCGTTGTAGCGGGGTTTGACTGTAATTGTGATGGCAACGATGAGAATGTTCCAAGATGCCAGCGCTTTGATGGTTACAGCTTTTCTGGCCCAGCTTTTCCTCTAGCGTCTGGATATTAACGCCATGACTGAGACACCACTCCATAGTCTTCCGAGGTGCCCGACACGCTCTTGCAACAGAGAGTTGCTGTGACAGTCTCACCGTGGAGGATGAGCCTGTTCACCTTTCAGCCCGATGGGGCTTCTTCCGGGTCCAGACTTGCACAACTTATTTTGACCACATCTAATTTTGACTACACAAGAGTTACACAAGCTATCTACATATACTTTCCATAAAACATTTTTGACTTCAATTTCTGATTACATATAACAGATTCACTTGCCTCACAGAAACTCAAGTGATAAAAGCTAGGCACACATTTCTATAACAGCAACACAACTGAGACACATATGAGAGAAAAGCCTACCTTCTCTAGCTTCTTCTTCAAGCTCAGACCAGTCTTTCCCACTCTCCTCACTGCTTCCCATGGCACCAGCTGTCACACACACAGAGGAATACAACACGTTAAAAAATGTATCCAATGTTCAACCATGCCAGGAGCACACCACATCTATCAAATTACATTAAGACAAATTGGAAGAATTTTCGGAGCTGGAAAAAGTCTGTTTTGTGTTTTGGAACAAACTCTAAAGCAGAAGGAACCATTTTGGAGCAGATTTAGAGTAGACAAAGCAAATTTAGTATCACTTGGAGCAGAACAAGTCTAAATTTTTTGCAAACATTCTTATTAGTGTGTGCACTGAAAATATTGTTACAATGTAAACGGGGAGACTGAATCAATTAACATTAAAAAAAGTCATTAATCAAGGTCATAGAATGAATAAGCATTGCACTCTGGCTTCACTGCAGTGCACATAACGTGTGTTGAAGCATTAGTGACAAGGCAAGCATGGCACATACTGTTTCTACGAATAACAGGTGTCACAAGATCATTCAAAATGAAAAGGTATTGATCAGAAAACCAGCTTTAAGAAAGAAGACTAAGAAAACCTGCTGCAACTGAAAACATACTTTATGAAGTGGCCTGCAAGCTCAGTGCATTCAATAATCACCACAATTTACTATGAATGACATTCCATCGTACTCAATAATGTTTAGAGGCATGAGCACTGAATGACATTCTTCCTTCATTTTCGAGGACATTGGTTTGCAGACTTGCCCCTGGTTTTCCAAATATTTAGAGACAGTCTTCGAAAAAATAAAACTGCTACAAAGTAAACTGGCACAAAGAGGGTGGGGTCAAGTCAAGCTCACTAGCAGAAACATTGGCTTGTGCAGCGACACCCTGTTTTTACGAGTGTTTTCTCTTGATTGATTGATTGATTTGTGGGGTTTAACGTCCCAAAACCACCATATGATTATGAGAGACGCCGTAGTGGAGGGCTCCGGAAATTTTGACCACCTGGGGTTCTTTAACGTGCACCCAAATCTGAGTACACGGGCCTACAACATTTCCGCCTCCATCGGAAATGCAGCCGCCACAGCCGGGATTTGATACCGCGACCTGTGGGTCAGCAGCCGAGTACCTTAGCCACTAGACCACCGTGGCGGGGCGAGTGTTTTCTCTTGACATGCTTGTCAAGGTGCAATGATGGGTAGGAGTCCTCTTGCTACTGGAGAATGACAATGGCTTCTCACACACAGTCCAGATGACAGACAAGTGGTTAATGGGAGGACTGCTGCAGTTTCTTTTTCGAAGGCATAGGGAAGTCTGCGGTAAACGACCAAATAACCCTCCCTCTCCACAATCACAACCTGTTGGATCTACCATTGACAGGTGCTTTAATACTGGACTCAGAAAGGACGTTGGGGGTTCAGCAAGTGCCAAGGACTAATGTGACTACACTTAATTCACAGTTTTCCTTAGCAGACTTAAAGGGGCACTAAAGGCAAATATTTTGTCGACGTTGATTGTTGAAATAGCGGTACAGAAACCTTTTAGTGCCACTTCTGAGCCAAGAAAGTGCATACTTTGAAATGAAATCGTGTTATATTGCTCCACATCGCATTAGCGCACTTGAAATCACCCGCCTGAAAACTGTCTTTTTTTACGTCACTGTTGCCGTGCCCAACGTTGCCTACTTTCAATGTGTGGCCCCCCGACTCTAGTAGCAGCAGAGCAAAAATAGCGGTAGCCACAACGGCCCCTGAACGATTTCCTGCTTGCTTGGTTAAACTTGACCCCGCTAGGTGGCACCACCTGTCTAGCCTAGCCAGGCGAAAATAGAACTTTTGAACCACTTGTGCCATTCCCATAGTACCACCACGTGGTTCGTTTTTGTATAAATCAAACAGAATCGGACAAGCAGCATTTTATTACATCTCTTAATGCACGAAAGGTTCTTTCTTTTTTGCAGCTACCGAGGAATTTTAATTATACATCCCCGGTTTCGTGACGACCCACATTATACAACAAATAAGTTAGGTTCTGGCAGAATCCCCATGAAATAACGTATTAAAAACGTTGGTTATACGACGCAGCTTTACACCAACCCCACATCTTATGACGACTTTAAATTCCACTCGAAAGAAATAACCACCTTTACTCGAATCAAACGTCGACCAAATATTCACGAGTGCAAAATATGAACTTGCATTCCCCTAGGATGATGATTGAAAAAGTAGAGTGAGACAGAATGCCTTCTCAGAATAAAAAATTTATTCTCAAAGTTCATGCTAGCGTATGTACGTTTCCGGGGTCGTTACCAAGTCAAGCTCTATCCACACAAGAGTAGCTTCAGCCGGTCAAATGCAGATATTTTCCCATTTTCGGTACGTGGAAACTTCCTGGTCGACATACAGCTGATCTGGCTTGGTCGCACTCGCAGTCAAAAGCTTGTGCATGCATAGGGGGGCAACACAGCTACTTTCACCGTGTAAAATTACTTTCACTTGACGTCAACATTCACAATAAGAGCTAGACATTTGCACTTCACAAAGCAACAAATTACAACGGCCACAGCTCAATCGCGTACGAAAGCATTCTAAGCAAACTCGTGGTGCGTCGTCATTTGTGATAGCGATGACACTACCTCCAGCTTGACAGGAGGCTGTAGGCAACGCGGTTTCACTTTCACGCACAGCAATTTTCAGATTATTCATCGGTAGAGAGGTGTGCATTGGATTCATTTTTTTTAAAGTGAGAATAAAGATTCACTCACATCTGCAACTACATACAGTGTAGACCACTTATAACGTAACTACTTATAGTGCAGAACTGCTTACAATGCAGTCTTTTCCTACTCCCGTTTACCCTCCCATAGAATCCCATGTATACGCATACCATTATTGTGCAGTTCCCCAAGCTGAAAGACCGGTTATAATGCGGTTGCCGGAAATCGTTTGTGACAAATGCGGTAGCGAGTAGTGCTGGGTGCACCGCTGGGGAGTGAACGAGGTCGTTACGGAGGAAGAGGGGACACGGAGTGAACGAACGAAAGACGGAGGGAAGAAAAAGAAAAAAAAAAAGAAGACAGTGGGACACTGCACGAGCTCGCCTAGTAAGGGAGGAGGACGATTGCCTCGGTGACCGATGAGCCATTGCACCAGCGCTGACGCGGCTACAGCGTACTAAGTCACTAGCGTGGCTCCGGCCGCGCACCGCTCAACATGTGGCACGTACGATCCCGTTCTTATCAACTACGTGCACTTAACAGTTTCCTGTCGGGAAAGATGTCATCGTTATCACACTTGCAACAAATATCGCCTTTGCTTCCTCCTCCGTAAAATGAAAACCTTTTACGGTTTTATGACGCTAGCTTTCACTTTTGCTGCCTGTGCGCTGTCGTATGTAAGCTTGGCGAGTTGTCGACCGTTGTTGCTGATCTCCCGGCCGCGAACTTCCGAGTCACGCACGCGGTTTTCGGTTCACTGCTAGTGCGATCTTTTTGCAGCCGAATCCTCATGTTTTGGACAAGCTTTTCGCAACAACATACTCAACGGCAAGCTAGGCATGATCAGCGTTTGTTGCGCTTCGATCTAAAGCGGTCGCGTGAATTTATAAGTTGAGGTTTGGTACCGAATCAACGAAACTCTTTGTGGTGGCCGCATTTGATGGGTAGGGATACATATCGTTAAATGAAAACGAGGGCGTCACGTATCGCGCTCAAATATAGTGGTTCGCGATTCGATTGCAATGTCTTAAATCGGGTGCACGCCCGTGAAATCGAATGCTTGGCGTCTTTCAACGCGTCAAATTTCGGACGTGATTCGACATAGTTTATGAGTAATGGGCATAATTGAGGCGGTATGGTAGTCCGCGAATTTCCCTGATGGTGCTTTCATTTGCTGGACATACACACCCCCATCGCGTTGATCGATTGATTGATTTGTGGGGTTTAACGTCCCAAAACCACTATATGATTATGAGAGACGCCGTAGTGGAGGGCTCCGGAAATTTCGAACACCTGGGGTTCTTTAACGTGCACCCAAATCTGAGTACACGGGCCTACAACATTTCCGCCTTTATCGGAAGTGACACCGCCACAGCCGGGATTTGATCCCACGACCTGCGGGTCAGCAGCCGAGTACCTTCGCCACTAGACCACTGGCGGGGCACCCCCCCTCGCGTTAATTTCATTGGCAACACGTGTCTTTGGACATTAAGTTCTATAAACATTCAGAAATTTAAATGTTAGCAAGCACGCATTGCATGTTTCGATTCTCGTACACGCGAAGCTGCATGCTCAACACATTTTGCACAAGTGCGGCCCTTGAAAAAAGTTATTTTGGTTATAGTGCGGTACCGCTTATAGTGCGAATATTAGAGACTACCGCGACATACATTATAAGTGGTCTATACTGTAATGCTGCCATTAGCCACCACTGAAAAGAATAATTCAATCTACCTTTCTCGCTGAGGCACACGTTCCGTGGGCTTATTCAGGTAGTCTGCACCCGTTTTTTGGGCAAGGGTTAACGTCACTGCCTATAATCTTAGTTTTTCGATTATACGACACTCGGATTATATGACGGTTGTGCATGGTCCCCAGAAAGTCGTATAATGGAGGTTCCACTGCAGCTCGATTACAAGCAATTAATTTTAGTCGAATGCTCTCAGGTCATCTGGATAATTTCAAAAATGTCCCACGAGGGGCGCACGTCGTGCGGTACATTTAGCTAAATTTCTCGGCATATAGGCCACTTCTGTTGATAATATTGCCCTCTTAGACGTCATACAATGAGCTTTCCCTCTCACATGAATAGTTATTTGCCTTTAATGTCTCTTCACCAAAATTACCACTCGACTCGTTTGGTAGTTCATTCACAGCGATAAAAACCCCGCAGTAGCGCCGCTTCATGCTTATTACTGCGCAATTCGCGAACATTTGGCGGCTTGGGAGAGAATCAGTTGGCAAGATTTGCAACCCAGGGCATTTTCTGTCGACTGATGGTGCGGCTAATTTTCTACGTACGCTGACCTGCTACACGACAAGCGCTTAAACATGCATGAGCAGCAGTTGTACCATATCGTGCCAAACATGCTTCATGTCAGAATTTAGGCTTAACATTATGATAGGAATGCTGAAGGATGCTGAACAGTGCAATTAGGAAACATCGATTTTACTGAGAATTATCTAACTTTTGCCCGGTTTAAATTTTCATTTGCGTGAAGATGCGATTTACAGCACGCAGGGCCGATTCCTGTTGCTGCTTGGCTCCAGTAGCTACAATATGCGATATACATTACGACTTACAGACAAAAAAAAAAAAAAAAAAAAAAAAAAAAAAAAAAAAAAAACTTCCACGTGTTAGTGTCAGTTCCTTAACAAAGAAGAAAGGCTATAAAAGATATGCTACGCTTTCAACAACAGAGACACATTCAGCAGCCCAGATACCTTGGTTAGGCTGAATATTATGACAAAAAGTGCATCACTGGAATGGAGCTAGAACACAACGGTGGCATGATCGAGAAGCTCTAGCTGTATTTGTTGCGACGAAGAATAATGATAAGGGGTTTGAAACTGTCCGATGCCATGTAAACAGGTGGACTAGTGAACTTTGGCGTAGTTGGCCTGCACAGTAATTTTCTCGCCCTGAAATTGCCACGCACACACAAAAAGAACCACCACACAATGCGTAACCCTAAATCATTTAAACATCCATAAGCAGGCAGACCTGCCAGCCTCTTACAATTAACTGCATTGTAGCAGCGGATGATACACAGCTCGCTTGTACAGTCAATCCCAGATATATCGAACTCGAAAGAGATCGCAAAATAGCTCGATATATTGATAATTGAAAATACAAAATACACATATTTAAGACCAAAATTAAAGCATTTCAGGCTTCTGAAATTGTTACAAGCACTAACATAACTATTCGCTCACACTATATTGAAGAACAAGGTGCGAACTGCCATTTACCGGGCAAGGTTCTGTATGGCTTTGCATGAGTGGGCTGCCAAACTTAGGGGTATTTGCCCCTGCAGTTCCGGCTTTACGGTATGATTCCTGTGTAATCCGTTGTGTCTGGGCGGTCTGGTGACACTGTTGTTTTATTTAGCAGCCTGTGTGTGTTCCAAAATGTGAGCCCTCTTTTTTTGCTGTACATTCCATTCTAATATTAACATATCCGAATCTATCGTGCCTCGGAAGCAGGAAATTTGAGAGTTCAAACTTGAAGTAGGGAACGCCCGTGCGACGGCGGATTTACCAAGGGAAATGAACAGCATCACGAAGGTCCGCACACAGCGTGCACAGCATACACCGTTATCGCCAAAGTATGAATACCTCTGTTGCTGTGCATAGCTGTCCGTAATTGCACGGTCACCCACACGACTCCTGCTTGTCATAGGTGCTGGCAAAAATACTGACAACCCCGAAACGGCACATACCGTAATTACTCGAATCTAACGCGCACCTTTTTTTCGGTTAAGCGAGTTCATAAATCGCATGCGCGTTAAAATCGAGTACGAACAAAAAAATTACGGCCAATCTATTGCCACCGGCAAATCCAAAATGTCCGCCCCCTACGTGCGTCGGCATGGCGCGTCGGCCATTTCTGCCTATGTGTTTCCCATGTGCGGCACTTCGTACGGGTGCTGAGGAGTTCGTCATCTAGTAGTGCATTAGCATCGACGGCGTGGAAGGGCCGACTCCAAAAACTTGAGTGCACCACGATGCCGTTTTTAAAAGAAAAGTCATCGCGTGTGCAGAAACGGACGGAAATCGGGCCGCATCGCGGTCGTTCGGAGTTCCCGAAACGTGCGTGCGAGACCGGCGGAAACAAAAGCAAAAGATTGTCGACAGCAAAGCTTCACGCAAAGGCTTCAGTAGACCTCAGCAGGGTCGGTTTCCGCAAATTAAAGAGCTGCTCGGCGAGTATGTGCTTGAGCAGCGAGCGGCACAGCGGCCCGTGACGACAGAACTGCTCGAAGTGCGGGCTATGCAATTAGTCTTAGAAAAAGGTCTAATGCGAAGCCAGTTTAAAGCGAGCAGGTGCCGGCTAACTAACTTTATGAAGAGGAAAGGCTTTTCCCTCCGAAGGGGAACATGCATATGCGAAAAGTTTTGCGGAAGAATACGATGAAAAGCTTCACAGTTTTCAGAGGATCGTCCTGAACTTGGGGCGCAACAACGGCTACCTGCTTGGGCAAATCGGGAATGCTGATCAGACACCTCTTTACTTCTACATGCCTGGCACCACAACCGTCGAGAAGAAGGGGGCGAAGCAAGTTCATGTACTGAGATCGGTCCACGGTAAAACTACAGTGACGGCAATGCTCTGTTACACGTCAGATGAGCACAAGCTTCGCCCGTACCTCATATTTAAATGGAAGACGCTCACGAAAGGAGTCGTTTTTTCGAGTGGTGTGATCGTGCGGGCCAGCGAGAAAACTGGGTGCGCGTTGCAATCGATGTCTTGCGTTTTTTTTTTTTTTTTCGCGGTGGAAATCGGGTGCGCGTTACAATCGAGTAAATACGGTATGCTGCTGGCCATTTAGTGACATGGGCACAACCCGGATGCTCGCAAAATACTGGGAACCCCGAAGCAGCACGTAGGTTATTTATGGCACCCTTGTGACACGGGCAAGCCACATTTACTTGAAAACAGCGACAGCCGTAGGCTTAAACTGTACGGAAAGCTAAGATTCAGTGGCAGTCTGGCAACACTGACCCCTCTCTATCTGGCAACAACTTATGCAATGCCAAACAGAACCTTGACAGTTACGGCACTTTATTTCGCATGAAAATAGTCCGTAAACTTGTCTTGTTTCTTGCGCACCGTCAAGTTCCAGTCATCTTCAATATCACTAAAGCTTTTCAAATAAGCAAATTCCGCTCATTCAGCCTCAACAGCGTTGATTGAAGCAAGATCAGCCATGCAAGCTTTGTAGCGTGGCAAAAAGTTGGTTAGCGGTGGCAGCTATGGCATATTCATAACCACACGGGCACATTTCCGCGGCACCGGACGCGGCAGTCATGATCTGACCATCGATGCAACAGCTATGTCATCAGGACCGATAAGTCGCAGAATTCACCAAGGCACCGTAAGCCAGCGGTCATGACGCACCCGAAGTTGTCATCGGGCCCGCAAGGAAAGTTAACGCCGGTACTTTATTTGACATCGCTCCATGCGCCAGTCGTGATTTTCATTGCTACAATGGGTCAACGTTCAGTTCAACTCCCGAAGGAACGAGGCGAGAAGTTCACAAGTCCAGAAGGTACAAAATACAACGTTGAGTTCCCACTGTCGATGTCACTTATGCCTTTTTAGCTCGCAGCCAGTGCTTTCAGCTGCTTTGATGCGAAAAGCTAAAAAAAGGGTAGCCTCCGAGACGAGCGTTTTGAAACCGAAAACACCAAAATAAGTCACGAGGTTGCACATTTGGAAGGCTATGTTTTTCTGGCTCGTGTGCCATTGTGTGCTAACCAAGGAAGAGAATGCGAACATTGCAACGAGATCACAGAGTCATTTCGCAGTCTCATTTTGGTGTCCTCGGCAATCGTTTTTTTTTTTTAAAAACACTTTGGCCGCGCAAACACTATGACCTGCGGACTGCGCATCAAGCATAGTGGTGCACTCGCCAGCGCCGCGCAAAAAACCAGATCAGTGCAATGGAACAATACTGCTTTTTCGTCCACTGCGTACGCAAAGGGATCAGAACTTGTTAAAATGTGGCGGAAAATCGGTCTTTATTTACTAGGAAAAATGCACTTTCTGTGCTTTGGCACGACACAGCATTCGGATGTCCCGCTGGGAGGGAGTTCGATATACAGGCGCACTGGTCCTATACTTTTGCATGGAAAATTCAAGGAAATTTCTGAACTGTTCCATAAAGCAAATAATTCGATATATCAGAGTTTGATATATCCGGGATCAACTGTACAATTTGCGACTATCTCAAAAACAGACTCTAGGAATTCAAGCACAGGGAGGTGCTCCCAATGAATAGGCCATAAAGTAAGCGTTCCATCCAACACGGCTACGTTGCTGTCTACAGGCCATGGCAGTCTGGCACTGTGCAAACTGCACCAACAAACTAGGCCAGTAATGTTACTGCTCAGAGTAAACATTTGCCAGGTATGGGACCCAACACCCTCAATGGCTATAGTGGCACTACATTCATTATGATATGGCCCCACAGGTGCTCAGTAAACTGTGTACCTGTAGGGCAAGAGCAGGTGCCCCAAGGAAAGCTACAGGTCTTTTTCAAGCCTAAGGACCAAAATGAAATCCTGCGCTGTTCGACACAGCTGTAATTTTTAAATTTTTTTCCATTGTTATCCTCAACTTACTACCAACCCCCTCTCTCCTCTGCCACACCCCCGTGAAAAATGCATAGAGGTTCTGCTGTAGAGCGGTGCAGCAATTTTAGGGTAAAAAAAAAAAATGTTGGAAAATGATGCTTACCCCCAGAGTCTTCATCTTCACTGACTTCTGAGGCCGAGTAGTCCTCGGAGTCGTCATCATCAGAGTCAGATTCGTCTTCACCAGAGTTATCTTCTTCGCTAGGGTTATACTGGTCATCTTCCTCAGAATCGTCATCCCCAGCACCTTCTTCACCATCAGACTCCGGGTCCAAGAAGGACCAACCACCAGACTCAAAGAAGCCCTCTGGGTCATCAGTGATGGTCTTCATAATCTTGGTCCAATTCAAACTTTGAATGCCTTCAGTGTAACGAATGTCGCACGAACTGCACAAGAACACAGTTTTATAAAAAGAGCCAATAAAACAAAATGAACAAGACGCCACACATTTAGAAGCATAGCTAATAAAATAAAATATGAACAAGACAGCTGCCACACATCTACAAGCATTCATTACGAAATGTTGGCCTCAAGACAATGCATAGGGCACAGGTCACAAATTTTTCAGACTCCTCTAGTACACGGCCATTTCTTACAACTCCTTACATACAAATAAGGCTGTAGTATAGGAGAAGCGACTGGTTTACTATTCGTAATTGACAACTCTGCGTAGGCAAATGACCCACTGTGGCAGTTCAGCGCATCAATTTGTCTCAAATGTATGCATCGCATAGCATCATAGTCCGTGCTTTTGTATAAATAACTACTCTACTGCCTCTGCTAACCACAGTAAACACAATCATTTGCGTAACGCTGACCCAGGTATGTTTTAAGTGTGAGCTTTTGTTTGTGTTAGTCTTGATTGGTGTAAACATGTTTTTTGCAATTCACTCTGTCCTATATAAATTTACCCAGAAAGCACAGTTTCCGATGGCTGAGAGACATTCAGCGTGGCAGCCGCTTCATGGCAAAAAAATTTAGGGTTTCTGGTGGTTAACATAAAATTGCAATGTAATACCTCATGAATTTCAGAACAAGTTTAAAAAAATTTTTTAATTCAGTCAATACCAAGAAAAACCACAAAAAACTGTACACTCATAGTGAAAGACCCATCAACAACATACTTTAGAATACAACGAACGGTTATTTGGCCCAAGTTTTGTCTGTGCGATAAATCAATTAATAGAGCCAAGTTTGATTCTAACAGACCACGATACAACAGACTATCGCCTACAGGAACTTTTGCCGTGTTGACGCAGACTGTCAACAGACTTCATGTCCCTCTCTGTGTGCACTAAAGTTTAAGATGCGGCGGGTAACATTGATATCTTTCGGCCAAACCAGGCCAGTCAGAGCACGCGTTGGTTACGCCAGTAGTGCAAGTGTTGCAGCCGGTTAAAATGCAGTGCAACGTGATTGCATCATCTTTCAAGGGTGTCCACCAATCTCTTATCTTCTTTTCAAGCTAAGTGTAAATAAAAAATGTTTTTGTTTATTCTTTAAAGAAAGACACTGGTCTGAAATTTTTTTTTTTAATTTTCAGTATTTCCAGCTGAAATTTTAATACAATATGTATTTTTTACAGCTGAAAACAAATATGCAATTAGTTTTTTGCTATCACTTTTAGATTTTTAAATATTGACTGTTACATAAACTTGCATTCTGCCCAGCCTTTTGACATCTTCCTCATAAAATATTGCTCCAAATTTGATATGACAGCATTCCATGAAGGCCAGGCAGTGCAACAAAACCACAATTTTATTTTTAGCTTCATTGGTACCAGAGTTATGGCCTTAACAAGTATACTCATTAGAAATCTGAAACTGTTGCTTAAGTTTGTTGCTAATTAAATCACTATTGTAAATAAATATATTACATTTTTTTTTGTTTTCTTGCACTAATCAATGTATAAGCTTTCAAATGCTGCAAGAATTATCACGATCCGACTGCTACATCAAAAGATACTGTGGGCAATGGCTTAGGGGTGTGATGAAAAATGTTTTGAGAAAACGAGAAAAGAAGTTTAGGAACATGCTGAGCCCTTATATTTAACAAGAAAAAGTGTGAATCGGTGTATTAACCATGTTAGAAGCCACCAGGAATGTAGTCATCATCATTCTCCTTGGTGCGCTTTTTTTTCATGGCATGCTTGAAGTTTTCAGCATGCTCATGCTTCTTCTCCGATGCCACTAGTCGGCGACTGTCCTTTTTTGAGCATCTTTCAGCGGCCACAACACTGCTGCAGGTGCAGCTCCTTCAATATGGCGGCATCTGCTCTCCTTTTGCCAGCGTTGAACCTTGCGACAGCTTCGGCCACAGCAGCTTCAACGGTGAAAAGCGATGCGTCTGTTTTTGGACACGAGCGACCAGAGGACGGAGTGCAGGCTCTATTTTGGGTTCTGTATTTCGCCTCGCTGACAACGCTCCAGCAATTTCTTGTCAGAGAGGCGCGTGTAAATAGGTCGCAAGGCATCAACCACATACTCCGGCAGGTTGTTGCAATGATTCGGAGGAGTCTGCTGCTTGGCAACAGCCATGCTGTACTTGCACCACGACTCTTCACCAGTTGGGCAGTGAAAGTGCTGAGGGCTTGCATCAGTAGATTCTACGTGATAAAAGATTGCCCAGACAGCATTATTCATGTCCTCAATGCTTCCTTGGTTGCTTTGTCAAGCCCATCCATAATATGACGTGAGCTTTATGACCACCTCGCCTGTCAGTTTGCCCTTGCCGCCATGGCTTGGCTTTCCTTCGGCTCTTTGTTTTTGCAGGAGGTTTCGAAGTGCTGTGCCCACACGCTTATGCACATGGTTGACACAGTCCTCTTTCTCTGTTGGCACGAAGCCATATATCTGTGCCTCCTGCAGACTGTTGAAGGCCCGACTGTCTCCATCACACAACATCGTTGTGTAGCGGAGCCCATGTCTCTCCAATGAGCGGCCAAATAAAATTTGTGCTGCTTCCACCTCCATTTGTCCTGGCTTAGTGGAGGTATTCTTTTGGCAAGGGTGACCGGCTACCACTTGGCATACCTTGGGTTGTCCTCCTTCGGCCCTAGCTGGCAGCCCAAACAAAAGTTCGATAGGACGACGAAGTCGAGCACATAACCCGTGAATAGTTCAATCACGGTCCCTACACAAATATGGGATGAGTGGCTCCTGGTCAGCCAAGTCCCATCAAAGGAAACGGCGATATTTCCAGGATTTCCATAGTTGAGTTCGGAATACACCGTTTTCATGGTGCTCGCGCAGTCGTCAATAACACAGGCGGCAGCCTTTTGCGCGGCAGGGTTCATTTTCAATTTCACATAATCCTGGTATGTCTTGGTGTGCAGGCCTCTCCGTGAAATATTTAGGGCGGAAAAAATATCGTTTAGCGCAGTTTGCCCGTCTCCTGTGCTCATTGACGCGCGAACCGCGAGCACGTTAATTTCGAAGGGGCCGTGCGCTGCGTCCCCCCCCTGCTCTCGGCGAGCTCCATACGGTCCTCAGTTTACCACACTCGTCACATGTGAGAACAAGTTTCGCGGCTACGCCATATTCGCGGTCTTCCTTGGAGATTCTGCCAGGCCCGCCACACACACCGCACTTCATACACTGAAGAAGTTCGTTGACCAACTCTAAGCTAACGACGGTGAACGGCGTACCAGGTGTTGCGGCTCCATCTCAGTCTCGAAAAAAAGACCGTTTGCGTTTTGTGGCAGACTTCGACTAAAGATCTTGCAGAACATCGCTCGCATGACACTCGATGGCCACTTTTTCAGTGTCTGAAACCAGGGGAGTGTCGACACGCACAGCTCTCGTGTGATCTTGGAACGCGGCTATCGTGTCCGCGATCGTGAGTGCCGCGGCGGTGATAGCGCTGGCACAGCCTGCTTCTTCCGAGTTCTCGGCGGCAGAAGGTCTCGCTGGTGATAAGGTGCGGGCTCTCGGACCCCGTTTTCGCCTTTTTTCCGAACGCATGAGCACTCCGGAACTTCCGATGACCGCCTGCCATTGCACCGAATGCACAGCCGTTGTTAGGCCTCTACGCAAAATGGCGGCTTGCACGCCACTGTCTAGCAGACGAATCCCTTCGCGTCCAATAGAAAACCGGGAACTGCCCCACGTGACAAAAACGCACCAATGATGTGCGAGTATTCAGTTTTTCTTTACGCGTGATAGCTGCGTTGTTGCTAGACGAAAAACGTTCTTCTACTAGGAACAAATAATAGAAAAATGCGTCTTTAAAATAAGGCCAAAATGGCCGCGCTACTTGGTGCGGTTCTCGCGCGCTGCGGCGTTGAATACGACCGTTTTTGAGGTGGTTTCGGAAGCGAAAATGGTCATCAAACTGACTTTGCGACCCATAACTCGACAAATATGCATTACAGGGCTACAATATTTTAGGAACAGCTTCCTTAGACCTTAATGATTATGAAAAAAGATACTTCAAAAAATCGGTTTTTCGGAAAATTTTTGGCCTCCCATACCCGTGTCTCCCCTTAAGTGAGACGTTCACCACAATGAAAGGTTATGAAAGTAAGACGTTCCCGTGCTCCAGGTAGGAGAGTTTCACTGTGAAATTAGAATATAACTGCAAGAGGTGCCTTACTGCTGCTCAGCTCAGAACTCTCAGACAAACTTAGCACCGTCCAGCGAGCTGTGGAGGCTGCACGGGAGCAACAGCTCTTAGCGGCCAATAGGCAGCCCCATTTAAGCAGATAAGCCCTCCCGTCCTCCCAAATGAATTCATTCCAAGCCAATCAACGCAATCAACAGAATTCATTGTTTAGAACTTCTGGTCAAACACGAGCTACTTAATCATTATAGTTCAAGCACTTTATAAGAGACATACACCAGGGTATAGTTCTTGTCTCTTATATAAGATATCCATTATACACAGGGGATCACATTCTCATTTTCTAATTCGATGTAGGCACATTGGTGTCTTATATCCAATTGTTTGTTTTATCAGTGACACTTATAAAGGGGTTCAACTGCATACTTCAAAATATTTTCAAAAATAAGTCAACTTATTAAACCTCAGTTACTTTTTGGTTTTCTTTGCGAAAGTCATGGTGGTTCTTGCACTTTTTTGGGACGATTCCTTGCTAGTTAGGTCAATGCCCTGCTTCCAACTGTTATGGTATAGAATCCATTTTGTCCCTTCATTACACATGCATGCACATGCTGTAAAATAACAAGTACCAATATGATTGCTAACATCCACATCTAAAAATCTAAATGGCACTTCGAGCCAAGACATTAATAAAACACAGTCTTAGTTCAATTCTAGGTTACAGGTTATACTCAACTATAATTAGAAAACAAAAGGAAGACTAACTTGAGCCACTCCTTGACGTGGTCGAGCATGTTCATAGGTACAGCATTGACCATGGCACACTTTCTGTGGTAGTCCTTGAACACAAACACCATGTCGAAATTCTTGAGATGAAACTGCACTCGTTCAAAATGAACCAGTTCCACTTCATCCAGAGTGACGATGAATGGTGGCTGTATTTGGAAGAGAAAAAAAAAAGTGAGTTTCAAAGCAATTACATTTATGGAGTAACATTCTGGTATTTCTGGGGAATGAATATGCAGTACTCCCCAATCTAAGTTAAGTGGGTACAATGCCATAATATTCAGTTATACGAATGCCTTGCTTAAGCACTGTGGATCACGAGTGAGCAAGCTGCAGCCAACACTGCAGTTGATCCACCAATGTAGCCAGTGCCATTGGAATGCAGATTGCCTGAAGAATCCAGCTCATTCGCCAGCTGGTTACGTAATGAGGCTTTACCTATGTCATTGGCAAAAAGGAGCCAGAGGAGAAGCAAGGAGAGAGATGCCTTGATGCATATTGCCTCACCAAATGGCCAATGATGGAGGTCCGGGTAAGAGGGAGAGGTGCGTGGCTAAGACGTAAGTGCGCATCTCAAGCATAGGTGTGTGCATGGGTGTGTGCATGGGTGTGTGCATGGGTGTGCCTATACCACTAAGCAGATACATGGCCCATATACTCTGCCTATGCACTGTTTGATGACCCTCACTAAGTATAATTTAAAAACAGCAAAAGCAAACTAGAGACAAGACAAAGAAGGCACACAAACACAGTGCTCTAGTTGGCTTTTACCATTCTTGAAAAAGTGACAACCAATGCACCCAGATTGGATGAGCATTTAGTTGAGGGCACCTTAGTTGAGCATTTAAATTTTCAAAAGCCCCTCGTGAACACTGCTTTCATTGCTCACTTGGCAAACTACCATTTTCACCATCGTTTGTCTCCCTTCACTATGCTAATATAATGTGCCAATGCTATGAAGTGCAAATCAAACAATTTTTCCAAATTGCAAATTACTTGGACGGAACATTCTTTATCAAAAGTTCTTATGCTTTTTAATCATATAAATGCTTTTCCTGAATGATTTTTCTTTGACCACCTTAGTGCGCAACAAACACCTCAACATAGGCCAAAGCAGTTTTATTGCAAGGTTGAGGAGATGGTATGCTTCAGAGAGAGTTCTATGAAATAATTGAAGTTTTTTGTCTATTTCAGTTTCCAGCAAAAAAAAAAAAATCTCTAGAAATGATAATTTTCTCAAAATTACCTCTGTGCATCAACCTAATTCCTGAAATAAACAATAAAAAGCACAATGCTCAGACGATGCAAAAACAAATATTCAAAGATTGTTTTTCACTGTTTTGCAAAATTCAGATGGCCCTCACATGTGCAGCAAACTTTTGCTGCTGAAAATATTTTGAAAACACTGGAACTAACATTCCTGTGAGCATCTTATCGAAGTTTCTTGAGAAAAACTGATTTTGACAAAGCACCATCATAAGGCAGCAGAACTTGAATTTCAGCAGGATGCAAGTGATGCCTGGTAAAACATGCTACATTTTAAAATTTACTATACCTATACCACAGAAGCCCAAACAACAAGATAAACTTAAGAAAATGATTAACTGATGTGACAGTAATATGTTCATTTAGCCTTTAGCTTTTAAGTGTGGTCTTGCGGCAGCAAAACTTTTTTCCAGATAGGTGTTTTTGTATCATATCACACCTAAGCTACTAAAAAAAAAAAAAAATGTCCATTTCCGATTGACTGCGAAAAACTTCGCCGGTCCACGCGGCACAGTTATTTTCACGCATAGGAACAGAAATAAAACTGCGCTTCCGTATTTCCCACTGCTCAGCTGCTTCATTTATAAGTGCCAACAATTCCGCTTTTCTTCACTTCATCTGCTCCCTGTAAAATGTCTCAGCAGGGTTCTACTGCATAGTGCAACAAATAGAAGAGGCTATGGGAGAGCAACACCCAGTACTGCAATGCACAACAGGAACTGTGCCCATTGACTGAAGGTTACCGTGAAATCCCAAAGAAGAGTCCCTCCTACAGTGAGGGAGGGGGGCTTGCCAGGTCGGACACCAAAATTCAAGATCAAACAGCCTCTAAAAATAATAAACACCGATGCGTCAAATGAAACGCATTACAGAATACACTAGCATTGACAGTTTTGCAAAAACCGAAGGGAATCCTCATGTGAAATTTCAAGTGCTATAACGAATGGAGAAAGACATCCTTCAAATGTTCTGACAATTTGTGGCAACTCAGAATTCAAATTTGAGGCATCCCACGGCAAGTGCTAAGATATCATCCACATATCTAAAAACTCTTGCATTCCTGGGAACCACTGCTGTAGGATTCTGTAGCAGAAAACAAATTGAAAAATAAATGGTGATACGAGAGGGCTTTCTCAGGACTTCATGGCATGATAAGGCAAGAAATCCTCTACAGTTGCCTCCTCACCCAGTCTGTCAAGTTGACCAAGCAACCGGAGGTTGGCTGCAGGAGTACAGTGCTGCGATAGGGTACACCAGGGAAGCCCAAGTCTCTAAAGGGTGTATCAAACTCAATTTCTCCTTTGGTAACTGCCTCCACTTTCTCACAGAATGTTTTGAAGGCAGTCTTCAGCTTCTGGCGCAGTTCCCGCTCAGCCTGTGAGAAGACCACAGAAAGTTGGAAGTTCGCAAGTGAACAAACTTCGGCTATTTCGCATACAGAAAAATTTGATATCATACACCTTGTCACCTCACTATTGACGCTTACAAAAATAAGTTCATTCTTTGATGTTGCCCAACTGACAGTTTCTTCTTCAGGGGGCAATAATGACGAAGGTGGCGATGTGTTAAAGAGACACTAAAGTAAAATAAAGAATTGGCTTGGCTCGACGATTTGTAGTCTTAAAAATATCATGTTGTTACTTTCCCCCCTATATACTAAATCAAGGTCAAACTTTCATTGCTAAATTTCATGCCAAACTCCACACATGATGTCATGGATTTTAAACAGGTGTTTTGTATTTTGGAGACATTGGCTCAAAACTTTTTGAAACTTGGTATGTTATGTCTACCACACCCATGCAGTACGATGCACTTTATTTCTACAGATTAGAAACGACGTATTGCCACATGCATGCTGCGAGACACGTACTCTGCGAATATGACCTAGTAGACGCTGTCAAAATCACGCTATGAAAGGCGTTTGCTGTGGGAACTTCAAGGTCATGTCACCACCTACACTTCTTTTCTCATGAAGTTTTTCATTTACGAATTTCTTTTCTCGTGAAGTTTTCACTTACGAAGCATTTTCTCTGATGGTAAGACTGCTCTTCTCGAAATTCTGAATTTGTAGTTTACTAAAGCGCGATAAATCACTTTTCCCTTCAGTGTCACTTTTTTTAAAGTTGCATCTCCAGCGGCATTCTCCCCATGTCCATCATCACTCCCACTGAAGAAGGAATGGTCTTAGTCCCAAAATTTTTGGTTGAAGCCATTGTAGTAATGAATGTACTCATTTTAGTTAAAAAAAACCACACATGTACATATAAATAAAGAAGCACATGCCGATGGCATTGCAGAATGGCTTTTGAGTTACCAGTTTCAAGGCTAAGCCTAAATGCTTGTGTGCCCTGCAGCAGGAGGAAGTGGTGCCAATGCACACTCATCACACATTTTCATCGCAAAACCAACACCGGTGGGAAACCAGCATTTACATGAAAGGTGCAGTCAGAAACCCACAACACATCATTAAGCATTGAAATGCTACCAAAACACAAGTTGTCCAGCTCAATGGCAGGACAGCCACTGTAATACAATATCTGACATTTTACATTCCATAACCACAATACTATGAGAGATGCTGTAGAATAGGGCTACTGCAATTTCGACCATTTGGTTTTATTTAACCCTTTCACAACTGAAAAAACTGGCCGAAATTATCGAACAATTACTTTTGCTCAAATTGTAAAGCTCTTTCTCTGAACGATACCATTCTTTCAATTCAATGACGTTCCTATATTTCACTAATCACATAAACGTAACTTTAAGGTGGCTTCACAGCGTGGCAATAAAATGAAAGTGAAGACAAAAATGTTTCACAAGTGTAGTTATCTAGCATCAAGAAACACAATTATGATGAGTATAGGGCAAAATGCAAAATAGTGTCCATTGGCTCCATGTGGGCTTTGCATTTTCTTCCCAAATCCACAAAACATTAGTAAATATCCACTCAAGCAACTTGCAAAAAATTTTGTGGGGTTTGCTTTAAAGATAACAGTGAGGGGCAATACTTGTAAACCTGTTTTTGTTATCTATTCCCCGTTAAGCAAATACTAAACACAGTAACCATGACAAACAATAGAGCCTTCTACTCACCTGCTCTGCGGCAAGGTCGTCTCTATCATGCATGTGCTGATGTTTCCCCAAATCCGTAGTGATTTCTCCAACTTCAGTGTAGAACTGCACGTCATTGTGCTTCTTCTTGCCAAACATGACGGCATTCTAAAGAATGATGAGCTCACAATAAGCAACAATACAAACTGCTTTGTATAAAGAGCAAAGCCAAGAAATGTAACAATGTAATATCAGTTAAATATAACAAGGTCTCAACCTTGAAAGATTGCACAACAGCACTTATTTTTTGAATGCATCGTCCATTGTAAAAATATATTAGAATTGCAACAGGCTTGTCAGCCTCTTCTGTTAATCTGTTTTTTGGTGCACTTCAACAAAATTTTTAATCAAGAGGCTGTGCCCTTTAACAGAGCCAGAACACATACGGCTTAATATCCTAGGGCTTTCTGTAAGTGTGCTTACACTCTATATTTTGAATCTCCACCCATTCACTTATGCTCACAAAAAACCTACTAAATGACTAAAAAAAATTATAGTAAAGGCAACTGGTGACTTAGTGTCTAAATATGTAAAGTTCTCAATTACTGAAATATGGCACTGGGAGCATGTGTATGCAGTACTTGCTCTGCCACTAATGTGAGTGAACTGAAAAGCTGGTCACTGCATGTGAAAGCTATGCATGGTGACTACACTTGGCTGACAGCCATACCATAAGTTTTGTATCACTAACTGAGTGCCGAGAGCTTTGCTTACTTTATTTTGTACCCACTTGTCACACTTTATAACAGCTGGTTGTGGGCGAATTCCAAACGACTTCAGATCTTTCGAAGCCTGATGAACACGGCATATGGTGTTGGAGCAGACCTAAGGTGATAGTGCCTTTGTTTGTGCTCATTACCACTGTTTTCTTTCTAATCCCCTGTAATCTTTCTACCAATGTTACACGTATCACTTCCAGATACGTCACAAGCTTCACCAGGGGTTCACAACCTTTTCTTTAGGTTTCTTTGTTTTTCTCCAAGTTTCTGCCCCATATGTTAACACAGGCGAACTAACATCAGCAGACATTTGCACAAGTTTACTTACTGGCAACCCTAAACACAGTAAGCAAGGCTAGCCACGAGACCAAGCAATGGTTATTATGAAGTATATTCTGTCTCCTTTTCAACAACACAAATTGCAGGTGTCCAAGAAAATAAGAATTTAGGAGGCTACAACAAACTTTATATCCAACGGCAATGTACCAAATGGGAACACTTCACAATAATTGATATATATGTGGGGTTTAATGCCCCAAAACCACCATATGATTATGAGGGACGCCATAGTGTAGGGCACCGGAAATTTTGACCACCTGGGGTTCTTTAACGTGCGCCCAAATCTGAGCACATGAGCCCACACCATTTCCACCTCCATCGGAAATGCAGCTGCTGCAGCCGGGATTCCATCCCGTGACCTTCGGGTTAGCAGCAGAGTACCTTAGCCATTACACCACTGCGGCAGGCCAACACTTCACAATAAATAATTATGCCTAACCCTGAGTGTAAAATGGAGAAGGATTATCATCTCCCCATCACAAGGCTGGAAAAAGGCATGCTTGGTGTTGTTGTACAAGATGTCAACTTTGTCACCTCGTACTGAAGTGAAACGGAAACCTGAAACATAGAAGAAAAGGCCACATGTACACAGAAGCACTGCGATGCCTTAAAAGCAGAAAATCAGCGTGGAGTAATGCGCAGGAAAGGTAATTCATCTGAGTGCAGCAGAATGCCTAAAAGTGACTCATACAGGAATGGAAGCGGGCTTCAGTCTTAAGGAGCAGCTTTAGGAGCAGGAATAACGCGAAAATAATAACCCAATCAAAAAAAGTGCTTCCAATGTTGTGTGTCTTATGCTTTTTACTGTTAATCCGTATGTCATTTGTAAACTTTTGACTGGTGGTTATTTTTATATTACGGTAGGAATAATAGATTCTTATCTTGATTATTCAATGAACTAATGAAGCTACAGAAAAATAACTACATTTTTAGAATTGAATCTGAGAACAAACTAAGTAAGCATGCGAACTCTCATCATATTCGGTTAAAAATAGATGAGATATCTTATAGACCCACGTCCCCCTTAAGGGGCAAAGGGAGTAACTTTCTGGTAAGCTTTGCTGCTTTCTCTCCCTTTGATGCCAAGTGTAAACGCACTCTAAGCGCATGGGTGAGGAAACCACGGCCCTTTATTAAGAAGCGGTGAAGGCAGGAAAGTTCGAAAGAACATCATGGACTTTTTTTTCAGCACTAGTAGTTGATTCCAATAAAGTTTTTGTTCATCTTTATGATTAGCTTCAACTTGTTATCGGCTCATACGAATTTGGGACAATACGAATATATTGTGTGCTTTTTTGGAGCTTGTATCATCGAGATTCCACACCTCAAGATGACTAAAAATGCATGGGAGGCATAGGGACTACCCGGTGCCCTTGAAGGGATACTGAAGAATTGGAAAAACTGACGAAATTTCTACATGCGACCCAGAAGATGCCACTGTTTCAATAGATGGAGTTCATTTCCCGTATTTTTGAACAGTTAATCGTATTTTTGTTAGATTTTCAGCGCGGAGCTGCTCGCAAGCTGTGATGTCACACTCACCGAAAAGCCTGCAGGATGCACGTCTTCTTGTCCTCCACATCCTTTTCTCCACCTCTTTTCATCCCACTCTATCCCTTCCACAAAAGCACTGGTGCTTTGCCCCAGCCCGAAAAAATGCTTGCTGTTGCTGTTCATACCAGTTTTGGGAAGCGAAGTGGGAGTTGAAAGAGTTGACAAACACGGTCGACGGCTCGCATTATTGACTTGCCCTTTTCGAGTGTGTGACGTCACTATTTGTCACCTTCTCTAGTTCACGGCACGGCTGCTAGATGTGGCAGTTTGTGAGTAAAGCATTTAATTAATTTTTTTTTTCAATAGTTTCTGCCTGGAATTAATGTCTCCATCCATCTCAGGGCCCAATATCTCAATTTACTGAAAATCTTGGCGGCGAAAATTCTGTTCAGTATCCCTTCAAGTGCATCTCTGATGCTTGTCCAACGCTTTAAGAATGGTGGCAACTCTCAGGCTAGTTTGAAACCTCACAGGAAATAAACTTATCTAACTTAAATCACTTCAGTATCCTTCCTTGGTCCGATACTTACCATTGGAGTGTGCTTCCAAGATGCCTGAAATGCGCTTGGAATAGATGTTTGGCCGAATGTACAAATCTTTGAGCTTTGGATTTCCTTTGTTTGAGCTCAGCACAAGTGTGTCCTGCTTTACTATGCCCTGCAACAAGCAAACAAGATCACACAGTTTAAAAACTTGATGAAAGCAAAGAATGTTTTTCTGCAGCTTGCAGAAATTCATGCTGGACAAAAGTAGGCACCTCCTTTTCTCTTTCCTCAGCTTCCCTCGTCTTGAATTTCTTCTGAACTTCTTTGATCAGTCTGAAAGCTGTGTTCAGGTTAGATGAGGGTGCTGAAAGTTCCCCAGGCTCCTTCACATTGGTGCTTCGGTATGTTCTGAAACACATTAATCGCATACAAATAATGAATGCAGTAAAATAAACAGGATGAACAAATTTGGCTATAAAGAAATGGTTTAAGCATGCACAACCAATGATTGCTAAACACTCCAGCACAGACTATTTATTGTTTCTGTAGCAAAAAAAAATAAAAATGCTTACATTTCCTTTAAAAATGTCGCTTCTGGATTAGGAAAGACGTTGCCTTCATTTCGCCCCAAAGCTGAACCAGGGTGAAAGAAGTTTATCCGCAGGTAGGTGTAGTCCCCTTCAACAGATTGTGATATGTTCTGAAATCAAGCCCAAGCATTAATAGAATTGCTGTGTATAGCCTAATTCCCACTCAGCACCATAAACAGCATCTCGGGCAATAAGTCACGCAAACTTTGGAGCATGAAAAGACCAGTAACCTTTGTTACATTTAATGGGAGTGCCACTAATTGAAAGAACAAAGGTGAACAATTTAAGTACAAAACAAATTATATTAGAGGTAGTTCTAATAAACCAGCAATTCCACTAAAAAGACTTCCACTTCATTTACTGGGAGTGTGCTACACACTTAAAACCTCACTAATGAAATAAGATACAGTGATACCTCCTTAATTTAAACTCACAAGAAATGTATAAAATCTGTTGGAATGAACCTTATGCAGGAGCAACTGGCACAATACTATAGCCAAAAATCTAGACGAAATTCTTCTGCCAAGCATCCTACCAGTCAAAAAGTCCTCAGCTCCACACGAACGCAGGCGCTGCGCACACCTGCAAAACTGCTATAGCACAAGATTGGCCATTCCCCCCCCTTTTTAAAGGGCAGATTTCACCCTGTTATGAATACCCCTTTATTGGAAAGTGCCAATGAATAGGCATACAACATTGTTTCCTTGGATGACACCACTCCCACTTGCAGCTGTATCTGTCCACGAGGTCGTGGCTAACTATGCTAATGAGTGCTGCAACAGCGACAAAGTTGGGAAGAGTGGTAGGTATTCGGGCACATGAAAAAAGAAAAGGACTGTGCCCCTGCAAGCCAGAAAAGGAACAAGTTCTTTCAATTCATATTTTTTCTGGTGTTACTTTTGTAAAAGAAGTTTCGCACCAGACTGCTATATTTATATGATTAAAATCCACCCAAAATATAGAACAAATGGTTACATTAAGAGTTGTCAGCATAACAGGGCTCTGCGCTTTTCAAGCCAACTTACTTTGATTGTAGAAATGTGGTAAGGAACTGGAATGCCAAATATGGGCAAAATCACAGTCTCATACTTCTTGTCTGAAAAAGAAACAAGACACACAGTATAGCACAGTGGGGTTACGGCAGCTTTTCAGAAAATCTTTGGTGACACCTGTACAATTCGGAATATTGGTCAAAATTTGGCAGTTTCCTAGATGCATAGGGAGGGTTGGCAGGCATATCGCCATAATGCAATAAAAAAACTGAAGTGTCATTAAAAGACAGCAAAGAACACTCCTGATAAATTAAAAAGGGATAGCCACGATCTCATAAACGATTGGTTGTAGTATTGGTCAATATGATATTTCAGCATTCGGACATAGCACATATTTAGAAACAGAAAATCTTACCAACAAATATTTTTAGTTCTTTGACTTCTGGTTCCTTTGGCATCTGATTCACAGACTTGTATGAAACATTTGACTTCCGCACTCTGCATCAAGACAAGAAAGGCTTGAAAACTTTTATTATAATTCAAAACTCATATGAAAAGTCATATCAAAACTCACATGAAAAGTGAATCCCCACACCCCCGTTACCCTTATTTTTATTACCACATATTTCCATGTAATGGCCACGCATCTTTTCGTAAAGTTGGGCTAGAAGTTGGGCTAGATACCGCTAGATGGCGGTATTGTATATAATCAATATATGATGAAAAGATGCTTCTTAAAATTTCCACTAGATGGCGATACTTGTATATAATCAATATGTGATGAAAACATGCCAGATGATTGCACTTGGAGTGTTCACTACACAGATGGACATACAGACAGACGGACAGAGGCACGGACGGACAGATTGACCCACTGTTGGAGGTAGGGACGCACAAACGGACGTATGGAGACTTCACCCCACTTATCATTCAGTCCGTGGACATGCTGCATTTTTTTTTTTTCCTACATCACACATGAATACATGCATGCGTTACAAGGGTGGTAGACTTTATTGATCTGGAGTAGTTCAGGCAGCCGAAATAAAGCTGTTTTGAGCAGCCTTGGCGCAGAAAAAGGGAAGTCTTGGAGCAGATTCAGAGCACTGAAAGGTGCGTTTTGGAGCAGTGCAAGTTAGTTTTTTAGGGTAACACCATCTTTAATCAAAATTATTTCTGGTAAAAAAAAAATTGGACGATTTTCAGTAAACACTGAAAACTATGACCAGACTTGCCACTCAAACAAACACTTTTGTGTGTGTTCCCATCATTAGATGGGAACACACACAATTTGTGACCCTATATTTATGTTATCCTGTATGTTATCCTGAGATTTGTTATCCCTGTACTAATTAAACAAGCCACTCTGCTCATTAGTGCTAGGTCTGGAGGAGTGAGGGGATGATAAATGCACACCGTGAACCCCGTAAATCGGCGCGCATGCCACAGCGAGCCGCTTGACAGTGACAGAACGGGCACAGTGGTGATCCAGCCACTTCAACTTTTGGAGCAATTTTTGGAGCAGAGAAAATGCTCTTTTGGAGCACCTTTGTATCGGCACTCGATTTTGGAGCAGCAATTGTAGCAGCAACTTATTTTACAAAAATACATCTCTCATTATTGCTGAAACTAAAGCTGTGATAGCAACCACAGTTCTATAAAACCGTATTTGTCTCAATTCTCAATTATTAATTAGAGTGTCACGTGCATGCCGATTTTAAAAGCCACCAAGAAATGGACCAGTCCATCAGATTTAATGCACTACTGAAAATGAAGGTAGTGCAGGTGTAGCATTAGTTTATTAAAGTACACTAAAAGCTACGACGAAAATTCCCAGAAACCGAACTGTAAGGAGAGTTTTGAACTTTCATTTATTTACAGAAGAAAGATGTGCATGTTGCAGCATTTACGTCCTCTTGCTCACCTTCTTGCTTAGTTCTTCCAGCTGTGAGAGGGTTTGGCTCAAAGCGGAGTTGCCTTCAGCTAATAAAGTTTGCCCAGCTTCAACTTGTTCCAGGCTCTTAGAACGCAGACCAGAAGAAATTATGTCTTCTGCTCGTTTCAGCAATGCCCTACTTGAGGTGACCTTTTCTTCCAAGTTCTTACGAAGTCGCTTTTCGTCGACATCAGCACCAGTGTCTTGGTCTCCAAGCCTTTTCCTGCTTTCTGACTGCTGTGCACTTGCAGTTCTCTCTGTGTATCGGGCTCTAGATCTCCTTACACTTTGCAGAAGCTCTGTAGACAAGGGAACTTTAGTGGCATCTCCATCATACCTGCGGAGGTATGTCTTTGTCTGGCGCAACCCGTTAATGCTTGCAATGCATAATGAGTAGCGGTTCTCATAAAAGCGCTTATTTTCGCTAAATCCTCGTTCGCAGTCTGCGTTGCCATGTGGCAGGCACAGCAGACACTTGACAAGCCTCGACAATAATGGATACTTTGGTTGACCTCCAGGAGACTTCAGTTCAAATATTTTGCCCCAACGAACATCAATTCTTTCACCTCCAAGTGCCAGGAGGTCACTGTTTGAGTCACACTTTAACATATGCCACTCATCGATGGCTGAGGAAACTTCTTCATGTTTGATTACCTGTGGAAGCTGAGACACAAGGTACTTCAGTGCTCGCACTTCCGATTCAACATTTGTTGACTGCCAATTGAGGAGGCTAGCAGATTGAAGAACTCTATTGTCGAGTGGAAGCTTCTGAAGAAGATCCTTGGCACAGGCCAAGTAAAAAGCACGTGCTCCAAGATAAAACCGCTTCTTCTCACTAGAGTCCCACTCAAGCATTGATTTTTCAGTATCTGTACCAACTTCCGGCCTTGATTTCCAAAGGGATGCATCCATCACATCTAGCCTTTTCAGTTGTTCAGCGGTCTTGTCTGCAAAGGCTTCATGACGAAGAAACCGACTGAGGACTCGTTGGACTAGAACAATAAGTTCAACGTGAAGTATGTGCAAGAGCGGCTCTTGCTTTTGGAAGAGCAGCTGAAATCCACCGAAAAGCTGCGCACAGTTCTTAAGGAACAACACTTTGGCCAAAAGTTGTTTCTCAGAAAATGCCGACACAAGCTTGTTGTGTAGGCTTTGGGTGTCAGGTCGTTGACGAGATGAATTGCCCTTAAAAAAATAGGTGCGAAGCGCTTCAAACTGTTCCTCAACTCGGCAAAGTGAGTCTTGTAGCGTCAGCCAGCGATTAGAAACGTGGCGCAGAAATACATGACAAGAGATTCCCAAAGTATCCTGGCATTCTCCGAGTGCTTCAGCACGGACAGCACCTTTGAAGTAGTAGTAAATATTTCTCACTACTTCTTCTACATCTAAGCCAAATGCATCCAGGCCTCTGCCAAATGCATTGTGAACCTTATGAAGATTGCAGTTGCCAATATCAATCAAACTTGGTGCCACATGCTTCTGAAGCTTGTTTCTTACGCTCTTCATAACATTAGGGCCATCACTGAAAAAGCAAACAAGTCCTTGCTTTGGAAGATCTGCTATTGCTTCTTCTATGCAGCCAATAATTATTTCAGCGGTTGCACTCCCAAGATCAAATGACTGGACATGTTCAACAACAACTTCCTGTTGGCTGCTGGAAAAATAGCGTACCAGCACATCTAGTTGCTGCACCCTTAGCTCTGGCTTTGGCGTCTCATCAATCATAATGGAAAAATAGACATTTGGCTGGCACAGCTCAGTCACCACTTGTCCTTTAAAGTAGGGACCCAGTCCATCTGATACAATGCGGGCCAACTTTATTCTGCCGCAACTAAACTTTTTGGCAATGTCACTGTCGGGGAACATGCAGTGATAAATCGAAGTTGCCGTGTCTCCCCATGAAAAAGGAATTCCCTTGGCCACAACAGACAAAGCAAAAGTAGTTTCTGCCTTGCTGACTTGGTGCTCAAGTGATGTATTAGCAGACCCGTTGGAGAAGTCCAGTGTGCCTTGCACCAATTTGGGTGGAAGAAGATTCCCGTCCTTGTCTCTGTGTCTAGCAGCTGCATCAATATGTTTCTTCATCCCAGCATGACGCTTCACTGCTGCCGCTCCATGCTGTGCGCAAGAAATGGTGCAGTTGCAAAGAATACAAAATGCATCTGTATTTCGGGTTCCACTCTTGCACCACCGACTGATCGGATCATTATTGGAGTCCACCTCGTTGAGTACAGAGGCGTTGAACTTGGTGTTGCGATCTGAAAACATGAGCGAAACGAACTTTATGACAGTAAACTTTGCCAAGTTTTTTTTCAGAGCGTGAATATAGGTAAAAGCAACTGGGTAGACAGAAAGAGCACTGACTTCTAACTTTATATCACAGAGTGGCAAGAATATATATGCCCAAAAAAAGGATGATTAAAAACATGACAAAATACAAGCCTAGTCAATGCGTCAGTATAAAAAACTTGCAAATGTGACTACGCACCAACTAGCCCAAGGTTCCGCTCTTGTAAATTTTCCCACGACAAAGGCACGCTAGTAAAAAGAGCACGTAACTACTAGATTTATTTTTAGGGTAGCCCGTAACATAATGCCAACCTTACTTCATTGGAAGATCTAAATGCCAACTCTAAGGCGCCAACACCAAATATTTGCGCAAGCATTTTGGGTACAGCCTCGACAAATGGCGCGAATCGGGATGCCAGTTGTCTGTCGACCATTCACACCTAAAACTCGCGACCAACTTACAGGAAGTTGCCATGCGGATGACGCGTGGGTCTGACGGCCGCAGACAAACGCATTGCCCCAGCTGGCAAGGCGGCATAAGGCGCTAATGTATGTTGGAGGTTTGCTTCCTTCCGGCGCGGCGCGCGATGACCAGAGCAGAAATCGACAGCAATGTTTTCCTTAAATTAAATATTTAAAAAAGCTGATTGGGAACGGCACGTCACGAATAGCGGATTCCCAACGATCGGCGGCTGCTAATGCGGTAACATTACGGTGCTTATTGACTTGCTTGTGTTGACATGGTCGACGCTCAATCACTCTTTTCCGACTATTCTACAAGCAGCTCGCACGGTGGGGCGCCCGATCCGTGACGCGCCGGCAGCACATACGGCCCATCTAGCGATCTGCTAACGTCAACAAAAGCGACCCGCCTGCAGAAATTCTTTGTGTATTCCGCGTCACTCGCTCGTTCGTTTCGCACTATTATATGTTCCGAACGCTAGCATGTAGGAGGTGTAACTGCTGCATGCCGTACGAGCGATTGCGCGTTTCAAATGCGGATATTCCGCACTACGAAACAAGGCACGGCGCACATTCCTAAGCCTACGTACAGCGCTCGGACACTCCGAACACAAAAACCATCAGTAGCGAGAAATCGGAAGAACTATAGGCAAGTTGCAACTTCTGTACTGATTCAATAGCAAAGTGCGGCCGGTAATAAATGCCAGCAGCGCTACGCGATCGCCTAAGCATTCACTAAAGTATTTCACGGGCGCTATTAAGAAATGCCACAAAATTTAAAAAGAAAGCGACTTACTTTTGTCCATTTCAACAG